TTCCTACCAGACATTAAATCTATTTAAAAATCAATAATAATTAAAATAAGCTGCTTCTGGTATAAACAGATATACCTGGCCCACAGAGACAAAGCAAGTTATTTTAACAAAAACACAACACTGTGAGCAGTAAGGATTACTTAATAGGTCATATTTAGATATTCAGGTTAACCAAGATTAACATCTTAGAAGAAAAATAAATTTGACTACATCAACCAAATACAAAACTGTGGCCCACATCTGGATAATCCTAGCACTCAATAGGAGCTGAGCCAGGAAGATCAGAGGTAGTATGGGCTACACTGTAAATATCCTGTCTCAAAAAAAGTGTATAATTATGAAAAATAAACAGGGTAAACTCAGAAATGGAATAGTTATGAATCAATTATGTGAAAACAAGACTGATTTAATACTTTCAAACTGTAGAGCAGTAAAGGTGAAAAAAGGGTGTTACATATAGCTTTAAACTTTAGAATGTCGAAAATTATGTAGCAAAATAAGCAACCTCGACAAATTATTGTTTTGTTGTTTGTTTGGTTTTGGAGACGGAGCCTCACCAAGTAGTCTTGAGCCACCTAGAACTCCCTATGTAGACCAGGCTGGCCTTGAACTTACAAAGACCTGCCTGCTTCCCTCTACCCAGTGCTGAGATTAAAGCCATGTGCCACCACACCCAACTAAGAAATCATTCTTGAAATGACAATGTGTAATTTATAGGATTATTACATTAATTATTCTTAACTCAAGAGCCCAATTTATAAGTTACCAGCTAGTTCTCCAACATGGTATCTGCCTGCATGTTGCTGCCATGTTGCTAATGGGCTAAATTTCTGAAAGTGTAAGCAAGCCCCAGTTAAATACTTTCTTTTATAAGAGTTGCCATCGTCATGGTATCTCTCCACAGCACCTGAACTCTGAATAAGACACTGTTTTAAAATATATTTTAATTAAACCTTGTCTTCCTTTTTTGATCAAAGAAATGTGTGCCTAAAACGTCTACCTGCAAAGTAGTTCCTGCCTTCCCTCCAATTAATGTCTATGTTTGACTTTCATTTGTTTTCTTGAGTTATATATTGGCCTGGGGAGATGGGCACTGAAGGAGGGAATGATGAATAAAATGTAGTTTTATCAGTAGTTTTCTCAATATCCATACCTTTATACTATCCACAACAATATCATCAGCAAGATAGGACTATCTGAACTCACAAATAGTTTTTTTAGTGAGTAAAACCTATGTAATCCTAGGCAGAACTTTAAGTCAGCTTCCTAGATATTGACACATGACAAAATCAAGTATTGTGAGTTGTGTTAATTCACCAATCAGGTTCACCAAGTTCTCACTCTGGGTCCAGTCTTGTGTCACATGCTTGGGGCAGAGACATAAAAGAAATAGATCAAGGTCAATTTAGGAGGAGATGAACAGTCAGTAGGGAAACACAAGGTCTCTTATAAGATGAGAAGCACCATGGGAAAAATGTAGATCAGCAAAAGGAGGAGTCAGATGCTGGAGTGGGAGGAGACCAATTGACCGTAAGGTCTTAAATGAAGTCTAAATTTTAGGCAAAGCCCTGAGATGAGAGCATCTCCTTTGTGTTAACAGAACTGCAGGGAACAGACTGCTGGAGTCAGTGTGGCAGGGAATGAAGAAAAATAAGTGAGGCTTGTGTGAGGGAAAGGATAATTCTCCAAGCGCTTTGGGCTCTCAAAAAGAAGCATTTGCCTTTTGCATTGGTTAAGATGAGAAACGTCTGGCTTTGGGTTTTCTGTAGGGGAAATAAAGTGCCATTGGAAGATTCTGAGTATAGAAGTGTGATATAACCTGACATCTACTTTTTACTTAGTTTTTACTTATCTATTTTGGGGACGGTTCAAGACAGGGTTTCTCTTTGTAGCTTTGGAGCCTGTCCTGGGACTCACTTTGTAGGCAAGGCTAGCCTCCAACTCACCGAGATCCACCTGCCTCTGCTTACCTAGTGCTGGGAATAAAGGTGTGCAACACCACTACCCAGGTCCCCCCAACATCTACCTTTGAAGGCTGCTGTGGCAACTTTTTTGAGGGTAGATACCAAGGATCAGGCATTAGGTGCCGGAAGGCAAATTAGGATACTGCTGTAGTAGCAGATGAAAGTTGGCCATGTGACTCTGTCTTTGTTTCTTTTCTGTTGCTGCAAAGAGACATCATGACCAAGGCAACTTCAGAAGAAAGAAACTATTGGGGGCCTACAGTTTCAGGAGGAGAATTCATGACCATCATGGTGGCATGGGGTGGGGCATTGCAGCAAACAGGAAGGCAAGCCCTAGAGAAGCAGCTGAGAGCTCACGTTCTTATCTCTAAGTTGGAGGCAGAGAGAGACAGCTAAATGGAAATAGACGGGCTTTTGAAACCTCTAAGCTCATACCCAGTGACTCACCTCCTCCAGCCACCACTCCTAATTCTTCCCAAATAGTTGCACCAACTGCTGATCCAGCATTCAAATATATAAACTTATGGGGCCAGTCTCAGTCAAACTATTGCAGACTTCCACCCACAAATTAACAGCACCTATCATTATGAGAAGTAGTCAGCTGTACAATACGTTTTCTGTGTGCCACTGAGAAATTTTCCTTGTCGAGAGCTTATAGATTTGGGTGAAAGAGAGGCATCATGGGTGACTCCAAGATGTTGCTCTGAAAGACGGAAGACTGAAAAGATGAGGAGTATATGTTGTGAGTGGAGAGAAGATGAGAAATGGAGTATTCAGCATGTTCATTTCTGCATAGTGATTAGATATTCTGTGGAGATGTCCAATGAGATAAAATAAATCTTAAACACTGAAAAGCAGTTTGGGAATGGAGATATGTAACTCTGGGAAGCATTAGCAGGGCAAATGACCCAACCGTGGAGTGGTAGACAGCGTATGGAAGAAGATACAAGAGTGAGTGGGTACCAGAAAAGGAGAAAGGACAAATGGTGGTGTTATTTGTACACTCCTCTGAAATGCGCTTCATCATGTTGAGCAGAAAAAGATAAAGATAAGTAAAGATTGGCAGTGGATGCTCGTAGAAGGTATGTTGTGTTGTTCCTTTTCTTGTGGGACTGAGAGGGAACGTAGGTATGGATGTGAAAATAATATCCTATGAAGCCAGCAAATTTAGAAACTGCTCACCATGCCTTTATTGTTGAGCATTCTTTAATTTTTCATTATTTTTGACAATCTCATATGGGTATACAGTAAAATATATTGTATCTACTCACTCTTCCTCCATATCTTCCCAACATGCCCCCTTCTCAACGCCAAGTCTTTTTCTTTTTCTGACAGTATACTGTTTTAGTTAGAGTTTTTATTGCTGTGAAGAGTTGTGACTACCACAACTCTTGTAAAGAAAATATTTAATTGGGCCTGGCTTAGAGTTCAGAGGTTTAGTCCATTGTCATTGTGGCACAGAGCATGGCGGCATACAGGCAGACATACATGGAGCTGGAGTGGTAGTTGAGAGTTCTAAACCCTGATCCAAAGGCAGTGGGAAGAGAGAGTGTGGTATAGAATATTAATTGACGATGTGTTACATTTGTTTATGCAGAAGAACTTTTATTTAATGATGTAAAGTTGTGTTGCATTCTTTTATGTTATATTTGTTTAATTCTGTGAAGTTGTGTTACTTTGCCTGTCTAATAAATCACCCGATGGCCTAATAAAGAGCTGGATGGTCAATAGATAGGTAGGAGAAAGAAGAGGAGGGGCTGGCAAGTAGAGAGGATAAAAAGGAGGAGAAATTTGGGAAGAGAAGAAGAAGAGGTCTTTAGGGGCAGCTGCCCAGTTAGGCAGCAAGCTATTGAATAAGAAGTAAAGAAATTAATATAGGATAGAGAAGGCAAAAGACCAGAGGCAAAAGATAGACAGGATGATTTATACTAAAAGAAGCTGGTTAGAAATAAGCCAAGCTAAGGCCAGACATTCATAAGAAAGAATAAGACTCTGCATGATTTGTTTGGGAGCTGGATCACAGGTCCCTCAAAAAGTAAAGAGTAAAAACAAGAGTGACACTGGGTTTGGCTTGAGTATCTGAAACCTTAAAGCCCACTAGCTGTGACATCCTTCCTTCAAAAAGGCCACACCTACTCCAACAAGGCCACACCTCCTAATAGCGCCATTCCCTAGGAACCTATAAGAGCCATTTTCATTTAAGCAGCCACATCCATTACATTCCAGCTGGTTCTGCCCATAAGTGTATGGATATGGGAAACCTATAAGTGTCCACATCCTCATAGAGGAATGATTCTCCCTATCTCTTGACTCTCAATTGCTCTTCAGTGAGGGTTAGAGTCTGGAGATCATCTAGACATCTGTGTCAGAATTTGAACAGGTAACTACAGTTGCTGTGAGTTCATGAAACTGCCCACCTTTTATATGTTGTATGGAACAAATACAAAGTGACATAGAAAACACTGGTCTGATTCCTAATACAAGATGAAGGGCTTTGTGTACAGAATCTCATACACTCAATAAAGTTACATAGAACTTCTAGGAGATTCTTAATATGTAGATGTTGAGTTATTAATATATCACCTTTGCTCTTTGTTGAGAATTTTAGTATGTGGAAGCTGTACTTCATGTTTAATGAGGACACTAAAAACTTTTTTCAATACTTTTTTCTAGAGACATTTGTACCTGCTGCCTTAGACACCAGTTTATTGAGACAGATTGCACATTTTCCCCATAATTACTTGTCAGAACTCATTGGCAGGTGGACATAGTGGGTGTGAACTGTCTATTTATCTTAATTATGGCTGACTGGAGATTGCAGCTAATGACATGTCACTGAGAGTATGACTATATTTAAAGATAAGATAAATTGTTTCTTTTCACCAGGATGTCTGTTCAAAGCTACAGCTTCAATGTGTACTTATTTGGAAGTGCTCTGGAAAATGTAAGATGATTTCAGCGAGTCTTTCAATACTTCTTAAGGAGTAGAGCCTAAGAAATCTGCTCCACCCTTGGAGACTGAGCCTTGTTACTTACCTGGGTAAGAGGAGATGGCGTTGATGTGGGCTGCTCTGATGACACCCACCCGGGTGCCCCGGTTACTCTTCATACACATGCAGATGCATATGGCGATTCCCGCAATGACCCCCATGATGAACACGATTCCAAACACAATGCCTGCGATTGCGGTGCCCCTGAGAAGGAAAACAAGAGCACATCTGCCTCAAAGGTCTGAAAGGAGTTGAGCCATGACCGCTGTCTTTTAGCTTTAAAGCCATGGCGTCTGAAGCCAGACTACCTGCTAACTGCAGCTGGGGCGCCCCAAACAAATTGCACAGACTCTCAGTTTTGTCACTCTTGAAATGACAGTCAGCTTGGTGTTTATCAGCCTCTCCTGCCAGATTCCCTGTCATGGATTTGTGCTCTCGACTCATTTGCCAGATAAATAGATTCCTACTGCCAGTGAGAGCTGTGAGCATCTAGCCCACATCTTCTATGATTAACATCTCCGTCCCAAAGCAAGGTATCTTGCAAACCAAAAAGGTTGGAATGTTGGAAATGACAGTACGTGTGTGTCATGTTGTATGACGGTCCCTGAGGCAGCCTTGTTGCATTCTGAGAACACTCGTGTTTTTACAGTGTACATGGGGATGTTGATATGTACACGTTACCTAGAGACCATTTGCTTCAAAGCCTATTCTTGCACCAATCGATCCTCAGGTGCACTTTTGAAATCTGTAAGTATTCTGAAAAGTAAAAGTACAGACAAAGGGCCTGAGGTGGTGTTGCCCAAAAGACATTTCATCTCTAAGAGTCTCCTCCAACTCACTTAAAAAAACAGAAAGCCACTGAGGAGTCAGTCCCAAACACTCTTATTTCTTCCGGGGATTTTCACTTTGCTATGGAATCACAAGGCTGAGCGGGAGGCAAATTTGCAAGTGTTCCTATTAGTAATTAAAGAATGGCTGAGTCTAGTCATTTAATAAATATTTCTCTGCAGAGAGAAAGATTTGTAGGAGGAGATAATTTGAAGGAAGAAAATGAAAAGTTATCTGGAAATCACCTTTGTGCTGTAATTTTTCAGTTTTAAATAAGATTAAACCAAGGGGGGGGGTGTTAATTTATGCTCCGGAAATAATCAATGGCTCACTTATTTAAGCAGAGAGTCTCCAAAGTGTATGTTCTGCAAACTGTTAAAATATCAGATTGGAGCAAACTCATATTCATGAATCCTCCTTTCTCAGACAGAAGAAAGTGGGAACTGAGTTGCATTTTGTCCCTCTGTTGACAGTTCTGGCAAAAGTGTCTTGCTGGTTGATGCAGCAGTGCGTTAAATGAGGTTGGTGAGTGTTTCTAGATGAAATCACAATTCTGGTGTCCTTGTCCTTTTGCTGCCCACTAGCAACTGTAAATTAGTATAGTTGAAGTATGCAGTTTGAGGCACCATTTATTCTGCCATCAGTTGGAACAAAGAAAGAGCACCACAGTGTTCTGGATTGAAATAACTTGGTCAGGAAGGAGAGAAGCTGTTAGCCTGGACCGTTCAGCATCTTTACTCCTTGAAAAAACTTTTAGGATCTTTTTCTCCCCTTGAAAGAATGTTTTGCAAGGTGGGCATATATCTTCCTCCTTTAAGTTTTTATATTGGAATAATTATAAATTTGGGGAGACTGCAAAGGTCTGGTGTGACTTTCACTCACTTTCCTCCAATGCTTGCCTGGTAGGAAACTACAGAATCATATCGAACCGAGAAAACTGACATCGGACTAAAGACTGCAGAGTTCTGTGTCAGAATAACATATGATCCGCATGAATACCACAGCCAGCGATGGGCAATAGAGACCCATCACCCCAAATGTGTACCTGTGTCATTGCTGTATAGTTAGATCCATTCTGACTTTTCCTCTCCCTCAGTACTCCTGGGGATAGGTAGCTTCACATACATGGCTGGAAGTGTTGTGAGCATATGATTTAAAATTTTGTATGGCATGAAGGTAGAGGAGCAACTATCTGAAAAAGGGGAGCGGTGGGAATGGAGAAAAGATGGTAAAGGGTGATGAGGGTGGATATGGCCGAAGTACATTGATATGTACGTTTGAAGATATCATAGTGAAATCTACCATTTCATATGCTAACTACAGAAGTTGGTCAGAAGAACACAAATACACACACACCCTAAACAAAACTGGTTCAGAGAGTTCCTAGGCTGGTATACACACTGAGGTGCTGGGACAAGGGTGTATCAAGAATAAGCGTTGTTACAGAACCCCAGACCTTAGCACAACTGCCAAGTCAGAGGAACATTTAGGTCTGGGAACCCAGCGTGCAGGCAGCACAACCTGCCAAATGAGAACAAAGGCCTAATCCATCACAGTTCGTAGTTCCGGGAAAGTCCCGAAATATATAAGCCTTGCTTTTTGGCTTCTATAGTTCTCATTCTGGCCAGCTGTCATTGCTAACTAGGGTGTGTCAGTCCAGGATGTGAACTTTGTGCTTAAAAGTTCACCCTGGAAAATGCTGGGGACTGCACCAGGGTCCTGAATACCCTAGCTTCTGGGAAGCTAATAAAGACTTGCTGTTGGCTTGAACCTGTGTCTGAGTGGTCTTCTCAACATCACAACAGGAATGAAGCTCTGAAAGTGCCAGCTCCCCTTCCCAACACTTCACTTTATGCATCTTACATCTGGTTCCTTCTGATAGTAGTCAATAGCAGTAGCATACACCAGTAACAGCAAGTATGTGTTTCTTTGAGTTCCGTTGAATGGTTCCTACAAATGCCCAAGACCCATAGTAGGGAAGAAGGGATATTTTTAGCCAAGGCACAGGGAAATGTTGCTCACCCTACAACTGGAGATTTGCATCTGGCATCAGAGGCTAGGAAAAACTTATGGGATTGAGCACCTACACTGAGGAATCTGAAGCTAATTCCAGTTAGTTAATACAACAATGGGATGGCATTGTTGGACAGCAGGGCATGGTGGCACGTATCTATCTCCACATCTAGACTGGAGGATTAAATGTCAAGGCCTGCCTGGGCTACATAGTGAGTCCAGACAGCCTGGGCAACCTAGTGAGACTTGTTCTCCAAATAAAACTTAAAAGTAAAGCCAAGCTTAGGAAAGTTCAGCAAAGCAATTCCATACCATGGGCGAGGCCCGGGGCTCAATCTCCAGTATTGTACACACATACACTCATGCATGTGCACTGTGTGTGTGTGTGTGTGTGTGTGTGTGTGTGTGTGTAAGAGGAGTAGAAAGTTGCTTCCTTTACCTTGTTAAAAACAGGACAAAACCCAAAAACAAAACAATGAAAAAACTCAACAACCCTAGAACTAAATTATTGATTAAACAAAATGACATTTTATAATCATGAGTGTAAATGGGTCTTAATGATAACAGGAAAGTCGCTTATAACAGGGCTCAGAAATAACACTTTCTACTCCTAACATAGCTTTTCCTGTTTAAGATAGAATCTGATAAAACGCTGTGATAATATTTACAAGGCACTTTTCCTAAGCTCAGCTTCACCATAGCAATTTAGTATAGATATCTTGACATTATTTTCCTATTAAGTGATATTTATGTAAAATAGTAAATACAAAAAATTGTGTAATATTTCCCTTCTTCTCTGACATGACTCAATTTGTAGATACATAATACAATATAATACAATACTTATGACTAGTCTGTGTAGTAATTTAATGACATCAATCACAACAAGGCAGGAAAGTAAAGAGAAGCCTTAGAAAAGCAAAGGCCCTTGTGGAAAATATGAAGATTCAGAAAAAAATTGCTAGGAAAATCTTTACATATAGACATAAGAATTTCTAAGAACTGTTGTGAAAATCTGTGTGTGTGTGGGGGGGAGATGTAGACAACATCTACCTCTCCACCACATAAGTCCTCATGACAAAACACAGAATAATTGTACCAAAGTTCACTGGGAGAGCGAGTACGTTTATGGAATTATTTATAGAACAATGAGTGAGGGGTTAAGGGCAAGAGTATGGGACATCTTAAAGCAGCCACACTGGAGTGTCTGAATCCAGCATGGATGATGACTTTCCCACTCTGGGAAGATAGAGCCCCTTCCATTATTCTTCCCAGCTTTCCATTTCTGACCCCTGTCTGAGGCCACATGTAGTTAGGTCAGAGTTGCCTTCAACTGTTTGGATAGAGGACTATACATTTGGATAAGGGTTCTCTGACCCTTCCAACCTTTCATTCTATGAGGAAAACCCAAGACTCAGTGAGCCTAGCTGTGATAATCCTTGGCAGGTAAACCCAGCTGAACTCAGGATGCTCCTGTATAACAATAGCAGTAGGTAATTTTGTTTTTCTAAAGACAGAGCTTGCTGGAAAAATAAATCAACCAAACTTTCCCAAGAATAAATTTAAAATGAGTTCATTTCTTATTATAACAAATTAAAAGTGAATCAAATTGTTTAACCTTTTCTTGTGGAAAAGAGTATTAAGTGGCCCAACTTGTTTATGATAATCTGTACGTGATGTGGTAGAATAGTGCACAAAAATCATATTCAAACATAAAGGCTTATACATTAAAAAGAATGGAGTATGATAAAATTCCCCAATGGAATATTCTAATTCCCCAGTACTCTGGGGGTTTTGAGCACCACATTATAATAATATCCTTCAAAGCCAATATTTTAGCAATTTATAATAATGTATATACTTTAATAAAATTTCAGATTCCCCAATGTAAAAGGAATGAATTTATTCTCTTCTATGATGTTTCGCTAAATCATCACAGTGTTAGAAGACTAGGGAGACAAGTGGCTGGAGTCATAACTCAGCAGTCGAGCACACTTCCTGCTCCTGCAGAGGACCCAGGTTCATTTTCCAGCACCCCAAAGTGTCTGCAACTCTAATGCCAAGGAATCCATAGCCCTCTTTGTCCTCCATAGGCAGCTTCATGCATTCAGTGAACACACACACACACACACACACACACACAGGCATCACACATGTACGGACGCAAGCACACACAGGCACATGCGTAGGAAAACTAGTCAGTAGAGAATAGTTTTCAATTCTAACAGCATTAACTTTCATAACTTCCAATAATGCCTGTCAGGCCTCAGAACTACATTCTTACTCTCATCTCTATATCTAGCTCTATAATATATACACCTGAAATCATATCAGACGGCTGTGATTTCAAATGGCTTGGTTAT